AATTCATCCTATTTTTATTACAAAGGATGTTTCCTCTTATAATCATGGTCAAGACACTCACTGCTGCTTTCTGACATCTCTAACTTCTTCTCTCCCCTCTCTCCCCTCTCTCCCTCTCCTCCCTCCTCTTCGATGCTCTTCTCTTTCCTTCCCCTCCTCCTTTTTCCCTGCCTTTTACATGCATCCCTGATCCTAGCAATATCCACATTCAAGACAGGCTGATAAAAGTGAATCTTTTATTTTAAAGGGAGTAACAACAAAAGGATTAGAAAGTCTGGCTGATCTAGCCGTGCCAGCCTTTGATTTCTAATGCTGACCCAACTCTGATGACTCTCTTCATATCCTATGTAGAAATTTTTAAAAATCATTATTTTCATACAGGTTTTGAGAGCTGAAGTTTTTCAAAATTAAACAGGGGAATTAGCAGAAATAACTAAAGCAAAGTATCAGCACATATAAAGAAAGTTCACCAGCACACAATATTTGCTTAAGATAAAATGGAGCTACATACTGTAGTTATTTATTTACTTATGTTTTAATTTGGTACAGGGTCCTCTACAAGCTCAGACCCATAGTGATCCTTCTGTCTCAGCCTCCCCAGTGCTGGGATTACAGAAGTGCAGGGGGCTAGCACGGCTTGCGTGGGGATCGAACCTGGGTCCTTGCACTTGCCATGCAGGTGCTTAGGCTGCCAAGCTATTTCCCAAGCCCTATATATTGTGTTTGTAGGCACCATTTACATAGCTCTGTTCTTATTTCCTGCTTCAATCCCTTCTAAAGGACTTACTAGTCCAGACATCCGCCACCTGACATCTCTAATATCATTCAAACTTTCCCCTCACCTCCTCAGAGCCCTCAAAATCATTGAACTTTGTCAGCACTGACTTCTTGCTTTGCTACAAGCAGGCTTCCAGCTTGTTTCTGATCCAGAATCCCACCCAGGCCCCACCCTGCCCCCACTCCTACTCACACAGCCATCTGGGTCCCCATTAAGCTGCCATCCTTCCTGATTGAGAAAAGCCTAGCATTCACCTGCCTATTTACAAAGTAGAAGATACCAGCACGACTGTTAAATGTTGCATGGAGACTCTCATATGCTCGTTCAGGGGGGAGGCCATGGCCTCAGATTATTTCTCAATTATCATCCACCCATGTGCCTCAAGGGGTTGCACAGACTTTGTTGAGCCCTGGTTAATCTCATCAGTTGTTTTTTTTTTTTTTTTTTTTTTCAGGGAAGGGTCTACAGGGTGTTCAGGGTTTCACTTCTAGGTCAGACTCAGTGATCTGCCTGTTTACAGCCTCCAAGAGCTGGGATTACAGGCACACGCCACCACGCCCAGTCTCAATTGCCATCTCAGTGTGCCCTGGGGGTGGGGCTGACATGGCAGGACCAGGGATCAAACCCCTGCCCACTGTGCTTGCTTGCAGGGGCTTTAATGCACTGAGCTATTTGGCCAGCCCAATCTCATCAATCTGACTTCATAAAGACAGCAACAACAATCTTTGTCTATCAATATTTAGAAATTCACCCATTTCTCACAATATGAGATGGTCACTGAGGCTGCCTTTTAGAACCAAGAGAGCTAGTCTAACAGAACTGCATCTTTGCTGTCAACTCACACCACGTGCGAACAGTCCTGGGTGGCATCAGACAATTTGTTATTGAAAGCCAAACCAGAGTGGAAGTGGAGCACCCATGAAAGCAAAAGGACGAACAGCGCAGAAAACGCGAGGCAACGACTCTTTCCTCTTTCTGGCTCTCCTGCCTTCCATTTCATTTCTTGGGCAGGAGCCTACCAGAGTTTAACTTTCTGACATGAAAGGAATAAAAGCTTGATCTTAAACAGAATGAGTGAAAAATCAGTTGCTGGCATTTATTGGTTTCTGTGAGTTCAAGCAACGGGCTCAAACTCTCTTGAGAGCCCCTTCCTCCACCCCATTAAGGAAGGGCAAATGTAGTGACTTGTGCGCTACATCTGAGTGCAGCCTTCCTGTCTCGAGTTAATATTGGTCTAGCAGTTATGAAAACAGGATACACAATCTGATTAAAGATATATAAGCTATGTAAACAACTTAGCTCTTCTGGGTACCCAGGAAACACTTAGCAAATGTCAAATACTATTATTCAATAGAAGTAAAGCACACAATGTACAGGGAGATTTGTTTACTTTGTAAAATTTCCTATATTTTGACTGTCACGTTTATTATTACTGGAATGCCAGGGTCACTGGCTATTTAATGCTAACATATAAATTTGATCCCCATTACATTTTTGCTAAATTTTGAAATTGAAAATCCATTCATTTCAGAGGAGAAATTTTTCTCAAAAATCCCACAATATTTTGAGCTGCACAGAGCCACAGTCTTTCCGTGTCTCTGGGCATCTGCCACAAAATGGAACCATGACAAGAGATACTTGGTGTTATCACTTCTGATATTCAAGTCAATTTTTATGATGAATGAACATTAAGCAGCTGAGGATAGTTAGATAGAACTCATCCCACACTGATAAGAAAAGTCAAGTAAAGGCTTGAATAACAGAGAAGCACTGCTTCTACCTGCCCAAAGGTGCACACAGGGCCGCTGTGGACACTGGTCACACCAACGCTGCAGTCAGCAGAGGCCGAGATGATCAGGCAGTGGTCGCCCAGCTCACACATCTCCAGGGAAGTTATCTGGCCCTCGTGAGGGTGGAAGGCTCTTAGCAGAGTCGGCGTCTGTGTGATTTTTTTCTTGCTTGAATCAAGACAGTATTCCTGAAAGTAGAGAAACATCAGAACTTCAAAAATTCAAATACTAAATGATTATAATGTATCTCACTTTTGAAAGCCTGGTGGAGAAATTTAAAATGTACATTTGGAAACAAGAATCTATATTCCACATGCCAAAAAGAAGGTCATGACAACATGTTCAAAAAATGGTATCAACATTTAAAAAAAGAATTCTCATGGATTTGGGAAGAAGAAAGAAAAGTACAGAGAAGGACAGAAATAGAGACATGAGCAGTCAAGTCCTTGTTCAATAGAGGTGAGCTCTGGGATAGCCAGGTAGTTAACCGTGAATAACTGTAAAACATTGGACAGTTGACCAGGTAACCAGTAACACAACAGCAGCAGTTACTGTATTAGATGAAGGGCCAGTACTCTAAATTATATTTATAATCTCATTTAAAATAAGGTACTCTCTATCTAATTATTTGCATACAAACAGCACCTTACTAACAATATTAATTTACCATCATAAGTGACTGACAGAATTGTATAGTAAGATTTCAATATTGAAGGATATCTGGTTTTCCACATTAAATTATTTTTTTAAATAATATGCAAATACTTTCTTTGCAATACTGAAAATTGAGTATTTCAAGATCTGTTCTGTACAATCACATATAAGTTTATCATATATTTGTTCTAGTCAGTACATGGTAATCAAAAATAATGAAAAGGATGTGCAAATTTTTTCAATTTACCTCTATCTTCCAAATTTTCAAACATCCCACTAGATCTCCCGTGGTAAGATACCAATTCAGCTTATCAGTAGACATGGTGATGGATCCAACTCCACTGTGAGCCAAAAATTCAGCCAAAAGTCGCTTATTAAATGTGTCCCAGAATCTGACATAGCCAGAACCTCCACATGATACCAGGTCAGCTCCTCCTAATATGTACAATAACTATAATTAGAAAACTCTCATGACAGATGCTAGAAACAACTTCAAGAGGTTTCTCACATCCTCAACTTACAATTTTAAGGTGAGTAGCACTGAGATCAGCTGTTAGTCACTTGGATTCTCTAAGATAAAAATGGAGAAAAACCTACAAAAACTTCACTGGCTTATGTCAAGGATTAAATGAGATAGGTTACATAAATTGTTCTGTTGAATTTAGTTTCTTTTCCTTGTTTTACTCAAATATCTTGTTTTACTTGTTTTGCTTTGTTTTAAGTTAGAGAGAATTAATTTGTTTCTTCAAATAAAATTATGAAATGTGAATTTCAACAGTATGATACACACCTTGGTCACATAAAACTCACCTTTCCTAATAATCCATAGTATATATACATCAGAGAAGTAGAAGTCCTCACGCACAGATTTATGTGTGTGTGTGTGTGTGTGTGTGTGTGTGTGGTTGTAGCAGTATAGCTATAGGTTTCTCTCAGCAGCATGTTTAGAATTCTTTTTATTGGCTTGGTTTTAAATTTTTCATCAGAAATGTATTGTACACTCTTATGGAATCCTTATTTTGCTTAATAGGTGTAGGACTAAGCTTCTCACTCTCCATTTTTATATGCTTTGTAGAAGCACTTTACCTAAATTATTCCTCTGTTGTAAAGCTGCTATTATTTGATAAATCTGTAGGTAACATCCAAATTGCTTCACAAATGTTGTGGCAATTAAGAATCATGTCTGTTTAAGGCAGAAAAACGGAATGTAACTGCTTGAATGAAAACAATTCAAGAATACCGATAATATAAAGGAGAATTAGCATTGAGAAAATGAGAGTAATTTCAAGATAATAGTTCCTCGTGTATCAGTGAGCTGTAGAAAACAGAAAGATTTATAATCTTTTCTAGTCCATTTTAAATATTCTACAAGGCTTCTAAAACACAAGGATATGTCTTTATTGATGATGATGATTTTTTTTTTTTTTTTTTTTTTTTTTTTTTTTTTTTTTGGTGGTACCAGGGATCAAGCTCAGGACCTGGCTCCTGCCAGGAAAGCATTTATTCCACTGAGCTATCTCCCCAGTCCAATGATGAAAAGTTTTATGTGAATCTCATGGAGATTTTCCATTTTCAAATTAAATGTGGGAAATAAATGAATATAGAAAATGTGGTTTGGATATTTTTTTTCAATATATAATGCATTTGCCTAGATCTCTAATGTTAAAATTCACCTAATTTTGCAGAAAGTTCAAAAATATTTCCAAAAGCAGTTTCCTGTTTCAAAATGGAAAAGAGCCAAGAGATGGGAGAGAAGGGGATGTATTATGGTTTGTGTCTAGTTGTCCCCGAAAGCTTCATGCAGTCAAGACGGAGACGTCTAGACTTTGTGATTAATTCATGATCCACTGGGATCATGGGAGTGAGTGCCTCTGGGATTATGGGTGTGAGCGCAACCCCTAGCCTGGGCCAGGGAGCCTGAATGCAGCTTAAGGGAGACACTTGCTCTCCATAGCCATTGTTGCCGCCATAGCCACCCTTCTCCTTTTGCTCTCGCCTCTTTGCCTGCACCGTGAACGGCTGCTTTATGCACCACTCTGCCTAGTGGAGCCAGCTACGTATGAACTAAAACCTCCCTTAACTGTGAGATAAATAAACCTTTTGTTCCTTCATTTTGGGTGCTGGGTATTTGTTCCAGGAATGAGAGAAGAGTAATGGAGACAGGATGAAAATGAATTCAGATGGATTAGGCACCTGTTGCAAATGCCTTCAATGGATGTAACCCTCCCTGCAAGCATGCCCTAGCAAAACCAAATTTCAGGAAAAAAAAAAAACATTTTAAATGCACATAATTTAGATGAAAGTTTTTAAAAATGCACATTATTCTCAAAGGCAGGTTCTTATTTGGGTGGATGCAGGCTTCATCAACACCATGCTAATAGAGCCACTGAAAACAAGACAACCAGGCAAAGAGTTATTTCATCCAAATCATATCCAACAAATACAATAAGTCATATGAATATGCCAATGTTAGCAACCCTCTAAGCAAAGATAAAATTACAACTCTGACTTGTTCCAGGATTTATATGCAACAGGCAAATATACTCAGCACACTCCAAAACTATGTAAGACATAGGACAGGACAGCTCTGTCCCCAGGATCAACAGCTAATTCAAATCTTGCCATTATCTCGTGTTGACAAGCTCCTTCTTATTTCCTCCCAGCCCATGTGGATCTCAGATACCTGTACAGAGTCTCAGACCACTCTTCTGCTATGGGTAGACTTCAACTTTTACTCTTGTATTTGGAACACATAGCTCGCTGTGTCCTCTACCTTACTAAAACATCTCTGCATCGTCCCTAGAAGGCCAATCTTCACTATTACTTCTATCAAATAGTGTATCAGAGTAGTTTTCACTCTGATCTCAGCTTACACAGCCCTGGATCTGTTAGCGGTCAGACATAGTCTGTCCCCTGCTCCCGCACTCATCTGCCCCATTCTTCACCTCTTTGCACGGGCCCCTGGCCTCCCTCTCCCTGATACTGATTAGCTACAAAACATGAGTAGGAATAGGTGAATTTTATTTCTCCCCCTCCCAACTTCAGGAAAAATATAAATATGCATTGTACCTGTTGCTGCAGTGTTTTTCCTTGCTTTGAGGAAACAAAGCCTCATAACAGCATTGTTACCCTCAGTGTCAGGCTCAAAGGTAGGGGCCGCCGTGCTATCCTGGTCTGCCATGGCATAAGTGGAGCCTTTCCTCTCAGCACTGGACACTTCTGGAGGTTCTATATCTGTGATGAAGACAAAACCAGGTGTTTTATGGGAGAGAAATATTTTCTGTTCAGACTAGTACATATGGAAAACAACAGGCCCACCCTGTCATTGTCTCCACTGACTCCATCAAGGCTCATAATAGATGTCCCACCAACACCCATCCAACATCACATTCTTCACTTTCTCAATCACAACTGGAAGCATTATTTGATTTAATTTTCCTTTTATATGTTCTATCCTGTGTTCTCCCTTGACCTGACTTCATATGATGGTGGCTGCTGATATCCCAGAAATCTTGATTTATGCTCAAGACAAATGTGCTTTTAATAGCAAATCATTTTCAGTTTATTAGTCCTGAACACCAACCTTGAAAATATTTAATATACATGAACTCTAATAACTATGTACGTTGAATTAATTTCTTAGCAATGTTACATGCTGGTGCGTTACCCTGGTGAAGATATTCCTAATGGTACTTTAGTTATCTATCATTAAATACATCACAAAGCCACACTGAGGAAAACCAAGAACATTGATCTCAAAATCTATGAATAGTCTGCGCATATCTTTGAAAAAAATCTCTACAGAAGTATCTTCAAAATTTCAAAGCAAACTATTTATAGAAATGCTTTTCAAGTCCCTTAGGAATTTGGTATTGTTTTCCTCTTTTTTCTCCGTGTATTTATGGTAACACTGTGTGGTTGCTATACAAGGAAGGTGGCACTCTCTAGTAGGCCAAAGTAGAAGAGGCAAAAGTCCACCCTTTCCATGGGAGGCCCAGATGAAACCTAATGGTTAACTCTCTGCACAGAAAGCAGGTCAGAGCTCTAGGTGTATTGTCAAATAATCTCTTAGTCTCTTAACTTGGTTTTCTTGTTCTCAATAAATCACTTCTTTATTCTCTGTCTCTGTCTCTCTTTCTCTCTCTCTCTCTCTCTCTCTCTCTCTCTCTCTCTCTCACACACACACACACACACACACACACACCCTAATACCTTATCTGATGACCACTACTTCCCTAATGCTGAATTCATTCTCTCTGAGTTTATCCTATTGAGACACTAGAGCCTGGCTGTCTTGAGGAATAGCATATTCATTACCCAAAGAAATTAGTTCAAGGAAAATCCTTTAGTATGTGAGAAAATGAAAATAAAATGTGAAAGGCAATTGTCAAGATATTTTTCTTAAGTATAAAATATTCATATGCATTGCTAAACTCCCATAAAATGCAATATACTTCTGTCTAATGCTCCTCATGGATTTCTAAAGTAAGGAATAATTTAGGATTTCCAGGTGGCATCCTACTTAATACCAACTCTAGACTGAGTATGAACAGGCTATCAAGTGAAGAGAGTTCCCATTTCTTACCAAGGATTACCCAAGGTTCACACAAAGGCAATCTGGCAAGGTTTACTGCCAGAAACTAAATTGGAAGAAAGTGAGAGAGACGTGCTCCCTGCTGTCAGGAATACAGAATGTTGGCATCGCATGAAGAGAGGATACCACAGGCCTTGGAGAATTTACTAAGCCAAATAAGCCTCAAGGTTCCTTTTAGTCCCTTTGACAAGACAAAAATATCACTAATCCTTTGTGCTTACAACCAATCATCTATAATTTAGGAGTGAGCGGCACAAACAAGCACACCAGCAGCGATCTGACGCAGCCACATTACTTTTGTTTCAAACTTGCACTTACCTGGTTTTGATTTGAACAGCCTCTGGTAATTAGGGTGAAGGACACAGTGAGCATTTTCTGTGCTATTGTTCCATAGAACAATTTCTCCATCATAACTCCCTGCGTGAGTAAGGGTAAAGAATATCAACTGTCAGAATACTACAGAGAAAATACAAGAAAAAAATTAAATCATTGTCAGTATATATCAAGCAGGATCTGGCACACAGCCACATTCTCTCTGTGCTTTGAAGAAACTCAGTAAAAAATAATTAGTGCTTTTAAGAGCATTAGTCTTACAGTCCTCCAGGATAAAGTATGCATTCATGTAGAGACCAATGCTATCTCCTTTCATTTTAGCATTCAGAATAGAAGATCTGCTGTTGAACAACTTGAGTTGGAATCTAAGTCTGCCTCTTAGTAGTGGTATAATCTTGTGCACTGATTATTATTATTATTATTATTATTATTATTATTATTGTACCAGGGATAGAACTCAGGACTTTGTGCTTGCCAGGCAGGTGCCTATGCCCCTGAGCTATCTCCGCAACCCTAATCTTGTGCATTGAAATGAGACAATTTCCCATCTGTAAAACTGGGCTAATAACTGTATCTCATAAGAGTGTGTTCAGAATAAAAAGTATCTATAATGGAGCTGACCACAGTGTAAATATTAAAAATTTAATTCTCATCAGACATTTTTATTGCTGAGTAATGAAAAAATCAAATCTTCCTAGATTTCTTCTTCCCCACGCTGTGTGTACGTGTATGGGTTCTTTTCCTTCTTTCTCTCCTATATATTTTATGAAATACTGCTTTCTCTGAAAGGGAAACCTCCCATGCAGGAGGTCTTTCCCAACCGCTTCTTGCGAAGAACAGAGGGAGGCTTAGGCTGATGAACCCCTGCGGAGGGCCGCACAGCCGTGCCTGAGGTCTGGGCCCTCATGACCGTGCCCATGGGCTCCGCGTGGACAGCCCGCTCCTACACAAAACACCGATGGCGCAAGGCACATGTGAGAGAAGAGCAGGGTGCCGCAGGATGCGCCCTCGAAGACTTCATTGAGATTTTGGGAGAGGAGAGAAATGTACACTGCGCTCTGAATTTCTTGGAAAGAGAAACCTAGATAACTCAAACTTTGGTCCAGAAGAACAGATTCCAGCTGCTTGTGTCCTAACTGTCTTTTCCCAGCAAAAGTGTCTCACCAAGCATGTGCCTGTAGAGCTGACAGCAGGAGATGGATCAAAGAGATTATTAACTACCAATGCAGTAATATTTTTTCTGTGTTCTAAACCTGCATATCTTGTTTTGCCATTAGTACATGCTTGTGCATGTTTTTACATGCTATATGATATCAGTACATGCTTGTGCATGCTTGTATATTCTATATGCTATTAGTACATGCTTATGAATGCTTGTACATGCTATGTGTTATCAGTACATGCTTGTGCCTGCTATGTGCTAATTGTACATGTTGGCAGTGCATGATGCTTTGCCTCATCTTAGGGAGTAGACACGTGCCGTTCACATACTGGATTCTTCTTATTCCTGCTCTCCCACCCACCTTGCTTCCTCCATGTCTTTTCCTCTTTCCCCATTTTCACTAAAGTTATTATTTTTATTTCATTTTGTGACATATAACGATTTCATTCATTGTGGGTAGCCAGCACAAGTACCTGATGCATTTTAAATCTTCCTATATCCCCTCTCCTTCCCCACCTCTCCCTACTTTCAGTCTCTTGATCCTCTTTCTATTTCCAAAAGCTCTATTTTCCTGATTCCTTTCATCATTTTTTTACTATGCTTTTTATTTGCACCTTGGATTACTCTAATGAGAAAAAAACATGGCATTTATCCTGTGTCTCTCATTTATATTTAACTTAACATTATGTTTCCAAGGTGTATCCATCTTCCTACAAATCTCTCAAATTTATCCTTTTTTATAGCTGAGTAGTATTCTATTATGTACAGAATTACACTGATATTTTACTACACTTTCACAATAATTACTACACAGCAACTCTTTCCAGCTGGCACTGAGCAATGGGCATCTCTCGGGACAACTGGCACAAGCCCTATCACAAGAAGCGGAAGTATGAGTTGGGCACCCTACTGCCAACACTAAGATTGTTGCCTGCCGCATACACACAGTCTGAGATCAAGGAGGCAACAAGAAGTACAGAGCCCTGCAGCTAGATGTGGGAAACTTCTCCTGGGGCTCTGAGTGTTGTACGTGAAAAACAAGGATCATTGATGTTGTTTACAATGCATCCAATAACGAGCTGGTCCGCACCAAGACCTTGGTGAAGAACTGCCTTGTGCTCATTGACAGCCTGCCGTACCGACAGTGGTACAAATCCCACTACGCACTGCCCCTGGGCCGAACAAAGGGGGCCAAGCTGACTCCTGAGGAGGAGGAGGAGATTTTAAACAAAAACCGATCAAAGAAAATTCAAAAGAAGTATGATGGAAGGAAAAAGAACGCCAAAATCAGCAGTCTTCTGGAGGAGCAGTTCCAGCAGGGCAAGCTTCTCGCCTGCATTGCATCAAGACCAGGCCAGTGTGGCCGAGCAGATGGCTTTGTGCTAGAGGGCAAAGAGCTGGAGTTCTATCTGAGGAAAATCAAGGCCCGGAAAGGCAAATAAACCTTCCCTCCTGGTTTAACTCATGTAATAAAGGTGTTTATCATTCTAAAAAAAACCAAACAAACAAAAAAAGGCACAGCATTATAGCTAACCTTTTCCATCATACTTTAGCGTGTAGTCCTCCCCCAAATTGTGAAATTTCAGTTACTATAAAGACAATTTGACTGGAGAGTTGGCCTTGCCAGAAGGTAATTAGAAGGTCCTTAAAAAATGAAACTTAAGTGTAAATAAATCAGTAAATCTTATCTGGTAACACTTCATAGATACCCTGGCTCTTTTCTTGTAAGTTTTCATTCCTCTTAAGAGCTGACATTTTTGGATCTATAAAAAGTATTAGGGTTGAAATACAAACTTCAAAGTTTCACGGTGCCACTTGTTTTCATAAATAGCTTTCTTTGCCCAGAAATGGTACAACAACGTTGATATCCTTTGAAATGTCGCATCAGCATATTTATGGAGCCATCTAAGAGCTTGGACTTACAGATACTTTGTGACAACTCTTTACCGCCATTATCAGAGCTAAATTACTCCAAAGGGTCAGTATGTTCTTATTATGGAAGTGCCACCAAGGTGTAATCATACCTAAGAGTCTTAATCCTGCTCTTGAAAACTGGACCAAAAAAATCAAAGATAACATTTACTGATAGTGTTTACTGTTTACCAAGCACTATGTTGAATCCTTTCACAGATAATCTGTACCTTATCTTTTAATTTTTTAATTTTATGCTTTTATTATCACTATTTTGGGGTTTTTAAGACAGGGTATAACTATGTAGTTCAGGTCTTGAACTCACTGTGTAGTCCAGGCTGGCCTGAAACTCACAGTGATCCTCCTGCATCGATCTCTGGGCTCTGGGATTATGCAAGTGTGCTACCTCACTTGGTCTTGAATGTTATTTTAAATGTCATGTATTTTGAAAGATAATAGAGATAATCTATACTTTAAACAAGAATAAAGCTATCACACTGTGGAAGTTGATTTGAATCCACAGAAACTTTATAGGAGCTGACAGTCATACCCATTAATGTATTGCCCTTGAAATAAGAACCTTGCCAGCCCCGCCCCAGGGCACACTGAGACAGCAATTGAGACTGGGCGCGGTGGCACACACTTGTAATCCCAGCTCTAGGGAAGCTGTAAACAGGAGGATCACTACGAGTCTGATGCTGAACACCCTGTAGACCCTTCCCTAAAAAGAAAGAAAGAAAAAGAAAGAAAGAAAGAAAGAAAGAAAGAAAGAAAGAAAGAAAAGGCAGGCAGGCAGGCAAGAAAGAAAGAAGGAAAGAAAGAAAGAAGGAAAGAAAGAAAGAAAGAAAGAAAGAAAGAAAGAA